CTCCTACAAAAGCTTAAGCTTTAGACAGCGGTTTATTTAGTTCTAGTATTTCTCTAAGCTGAAGAATATATTTTGATTTTGTTGCTTAATTTTTCTCCTTTTACATGTTTCTTGGGATAAAAATCTAGTTCGCACTAATTCAAGTCCTCTAACACTGCTCTTATTTGTTAAATAAAGGTGGTCAGCCATTGCAGAGAAATTGCCTGGAAGAACTGACAACGGCATAAAAAACTACTGGCATGCACACGTAAAGAAATACAATAGAAGAAATGCAGCAGCCACTGGTCAAATTAAGCAGCAGCTTTGTAAAGCTTCCCAATTGTCTGAAATATTACATGAACAACAACCTAATCTAATTACCTCGAAGGCAAACATTCAAAACGAATCATCCCCAAAGGACTTTGTTGTGGCTGAATCCTCATATCTCCAAGCATTGGATAATTTGGTTCCACCTCTCACTAATACTACCCGCGGAGCGCACGATGATAAGATTATTGGGGATTCAGACGAAGGAAATTTCTGGTCTGAACTATGTCACATTAATTATTTAGAGTCATCACTGGAGTTGAATTATGATGACTTATTATTCACGGTTCCTTATATTATGAGTCCTCAAGGACCTCAACACTGGATTGCCGAAAATAGTACTCCTTCATCTGGTTCAGTTGCAGAAACCCAAGAATTTTTTTGGACCGAACCAGAAGGAGGACTTTTCTCGCACTCCTTTTTATACAATGATGATAATTGAATCTGTATGTGTAATACAATGTATTAGAGAGAGAACTATTCCTATGGTTTGATCAATTGCAACATTAGAATATATTTATTAATCATAAACTTATATAGACATTTTCATTTATATGAAGAGAACTTTTTAATCTTATGTAGACATTTTCCTCAAATTTATACATTGATGATCTAATAAACGATTTTGTTTTATTTAAAAGAAGCATCAGCTGATAATTCATTTCAATATTTTAATCTTTGTATGATTAGGTGGAATGTGCATGTATGTTCATGCAAAATCTGCAAGCGTACGTAATTTTTGACAAGTAATATAATTGATAAGTTGAGAGTAACGTCCCACAGAATAAAATTCAAGTTTACTAACTTTTTATGTGATTTGAATTATGTAAATAAAAAAGAGTTTAATTTTATTTTATATTTAATTAATCTAAGAAAACTATAAAAAATGTGATTTTTATCAATTTATGAATGATTGTATTGGATCTCGAATCCACATATTGCTATTTATTTTAATTCTTGATTTGTAATCTAATTCCGTTTAAAAATGCATTCTTGACAATCGATAACTATTGTAAATAATTCTCTTTTTCAAGGCAAATGAAATTTATTATAGTCACGACCCAAATCTATTCCTAGTTTGAATTCGAATGATTATACTGCATTAGAGTTTAGATTATCTATATGATTGCACTTGTGATAAATGTTATTCCTAACATCTATTGCACATATGTTAATTTTGCCGCGTTCTAAGCTTATTGTGAGTCTCACAACACTACAATAAGCAACTAATTATTGAATTGGTGGCTAATCTAATGAATAATGCAAAGGGTATGCAAAATTAATCAAGAAACTCAAGAAATAAACTAAATTACTAGTTTTGAATTAAAACAAATAAATAAATAGAGTTCATCTTCATCCAATACAAAAGCAGATCTAGCATATCATGTTAATATATAAATTACAAGAAAAATAATAGAAAAATGTCACTCGGTTCATGAAATAAATCAAAAGATATTGATTTTCAAACTCAAAGTTG